ATTATTGTTGTTAAGTGCTGTCTAGTTGGTTCCGACTCATAGTGACCCTGTATAGGGTTTCTGGAGCAGCTGGTGAGTTTGAACTGCTGACCTTGCTGTTTAAATTGACATTTTGGTCTAATGCTTATTCTACAGTGCTACACCAAGACTAACTCTCTATATCTATATCTATATCAATGCTCTCTCTCTCTCTCTCTCTCTCTCTATATATAGATAGATCTAGATATATATTGTTGTTGTTAAGTGCCATTGAGTCGGTTCTGACCCATAGCGACCCTGTACAGGGTTTCCGAGGCTGTAAATCTTTACGGGAGCAGAAAGCCTCATCTTTCTCCCGCAGAGTAGCTGGTAGTTTCGAACTGCTGACCTTAAGGTTCGCAGCCCGATTCGTAACCACTACGCTACCAGACCTCCATATATATATATATTATATATACTTTTATTGTTGTTGTTATAGGTGTATATATATGTTGTTTCATCTCAATGATTACAATCCCTTCCCTGCAACAAGTTATCCTACTTCCTTCCTATGCCTTCCCTTTTACATCTTATATTTTACAAATGAACAAAGCAAACATATTTGATGTACACATATAAACCAAAAAATGTATATTCATTTAAGTATCCTAAGGGCATAATCTGCAAGCCAGTTTCCTTCCCTCAGGCACACAGCCTCTCTCAGTCCATGGGCCAAGAGTCTTCAGTTGCTCTCTCTCTCTCTCTCTATGCCATTGCCTCTGCCACCGTTTCTGCTGCCTCCGCTTTTCTATATAGAACCTCATGCTCCACTCATACTCTTCCTTCTTGATGATCCTGGGATGGTCTGTTCCTGAAATGAAAGATTAACTACTTCCCCTTTTAGTTACACATCTTCTACAATTACAGTTGTGAAAATCACAATTAATCCTGCTAACAATTACTCACAACTGAATTATAAAATCCTATCAGCATCATCCCCTTTCACCAGATCCATCTGGAGAAGAGGAAAACTACTCAGTGGGGGTTCAATCTTACCCTCCTCGTTCTGAAACTAAGCACACTCATGAAAGCTTGTAAGCCAGCTACTTTGTGCCGTTATAGCCCCCCTCCCCATTTTTGATAGCTAATAAAACTCATAATTATTTAATGAAAAGAAGAAAAGACCAGGTTTATTGGTCCGAAAGAGATTGGAGGAACCTGAGACTATGGCTCTTAACCATCCTTCAGGTCTGGTCCAATTCTCAGCCAAGCAGTTGTTGTTGTTGTTAAGTGCCTTCGAGTCGGAGCCAACCCATAGCGACCCTGTACAGGGTTTCCGAGGGTGTAAATCCTTACGGGAGTAGAAAGCCTCATCTTTCTCCCGCGGAGCGGCTGGTAGTTTC